ATCGCAATCAATTTTAAAATTAAAAACTAGGAAAACTGGAAACGCAAAAATTAAATAAATGAAAAATTGGAAATTAAAAGTTGAAAAAAGAGAAAAGGAAAATTGCAAAACCGAAAAATCTAAAAACTGGAAGATGGAAAACTGAAAAATCGTATAATTGAAAAAAATTATAATTTCTAAGTTTAAGTTAAAAATCGAGAAAATGAATACTTGACACTTGAGAAATTAAAAAACTGATGAGAAATCTAAAAATTGAAAAATTGGTAAATTTAAAATTGGAAACTTGGAAAATTCCAAAATCAAAACGAAAACTTGTAAATTGAAACACAGAGAAATCTCACAATTGAAAGAAAAAACGAAAAATTTAAAAATCCACAAACCAAAAATCGAGAATTTGATAACGAAAATTATGAAAATTAAAAATGGAAAAATTAAAGAAATGAAAAACCTGGAAAATATCACTGAACAAAATTGAAACGTTTTAACATTAAAATATGGAAAAATTAAAAAAATTTAAATTGAAAATAAGAACAATTTGAAATGGAAAAAATAAAAAAAATGAAAGACGGAAAAATCTTACAACTGAAAGAAACATCGAAAACTTGAAAATTAAAATCGAGAATTTGAAAAATCGAAAAGTAGGAAAATTGTAAATGGAAAAAAATAACGGAACGAAAAAACGAAAAACTGAAAAATTCCAAAACTGAAAAACTGAAACATTGAATCGAAACATTGCAAAATCCCACAATTTAAAAGAAAAACGAAAAATTTAGATCTCGAAAAATTGAAAAATCGGAAAATTGTAATATTATAGATCTAAAAATTGAAGACTGAAAACTAGGAAAATTCAAAAATCATGAAATTGAGTAATCGAGAAATTGGAAGATCGAAAAATTCTTACATTACATCCAAAAATTCAAACATTTGGAACTGAAAACTAGAAAAACTGGAAATGGGAAAATTAAATTAATGAAAAATTTGAAAATCGAAAAGCTGAAAAACGTGAAACGGAAAATTGTAATACTAAAAAATCTAAACATCTAAAATTTCAAACACCAAAAATTGTAAAATTGAAAAATCTGACAATTAAAAAAATAGAAAAATTGAGAAAGTGAGAAAATGAAAAATCGGAAAACCAACAATAAAATATCGAAAAATTCAAAAATTCAAAATCGAGAAAATGAAAAATTGAGAACTTGAAAAAAATAAAAAATTGATAAAACGAGAAAATGAAAAATCGGAAAATTGTAATATTATAGATCTAAAAATTGAAGACTGAAAACTAGGAAAATTCAAAAATCATGAAATTGAGTAATCGAGAAATTGAAAGATCGGAAAATTCTTACATTACATCCAAAAATTCAAAAATTTGAAACTGAAAACTAGAAAAACTGGAAATGGAAAAATTAAATTAATGAAAAATTTGAAAATCGAAAAGCTAAAAAACGTGAAACGGAAAATTGCAATACTAAAAAATCTAAACATCTAAAATTTCAAACACCAAAAATTGTAAAATTGAAAAATCTGGCAATTAAAAAAATAGAAAAATTGAAAAAGTGAGAAAATGAAAAATCGGAAAACCAACAATAAAATATCGAAAAATACAAAAATTCAAAATCGAGAAAATGAAAAATTGAGAAATTGAAAAAATCAAAAATTGATAAAACGAGAAATTGAAAAATCGGAAAATTGTAATATTATAGATCTAAAAATTCAAGACTGAAAACTAGGAAAATTCAAAAATCATGAAATTGAGTAATCGAGAAATTGAAAGATCGGAAAATTCTTACATTACATCCAAGAATTCAAAAATTTAAAACTGAAAACTAGAAAAACTGGAAATGGGAAAATTAAATTAATGAAAAATTTGAAAATCGAAAAGCTGAAAAACGTGAAACGGAAAAGTGCAATACTAAAAAATCTAAACATTTAAAATTTCAAACACCAAAAATTGTAAAATGAAACATTTGAAGAATCTTACAATTGAAAAAAAACGAAAAATTAAAAATCGGTAAAATGAATAATTGAGAAATCTAAAAATTGAAAATTGAAAATAGGAAAATTCAAAAATCGAAAATTTGAAAAATCGAGAAATTGAGAAATCGAAAAATTGAAAAATCGGAAAATACAACATCCCAAAACTCAAATTTTTCAATTGAAAATTAGAAAAATTCGAAATGGAAAAATTAAATGAATGAAAAATTGAAAAATCGAATAGCCGAAAAATGTGAAACGGAAAATTGCAAAACTGAAAAAACCAAAAATTGTAAAATCGAAATACTGAAAGATTTTACGCCTGAAAAAATCGAAAAATTCAGAAATCGAGAATTTGAGTGATTAAAAATAGAGGAATCGAAAAATTGATAAATTTAAAATTGAAAACTAGAAAAATTCAAAAATCAAAAAATTGAAAAATCGAAAGTTTTAAAAAATGAAAAATTGTAAACTGAAATACTGAAAAATCTTGCAACTGAAAGAAAATCGAAAAATTAAAACACTAAAAATCGGAAAAATTGAAAAATTAAAAATCGGGAATTTGAAAAATCGAAAACTAGGAGAATTGTACCTGGAAAAATTAAAGAAACGAAATACTGAAAACCGATAAGTTAAAAACGAGAAATGAAAAATTCCAAAATTGAAAAACTGAAAAATTGAATCGAAACACTGAAAAATCTCACAATTTGAAAAAAAAAACGAAAAATCCAGATCCAGAAAAACTAAAAAATCGGAAAATTCTAACATTAAAACATGGAAAAGTTGAAAAGGGTGAAACGGAAAATTGCAAAATTGAAAAATCGAACAACTGAAAAACCAAAAATTGTAAAATCGAAACACTAAGAGACACCTAAAATTGAAAAAAAATCCAAAAATTCAGAGAACGAAAAAATCGAGAAATTGAGAAACTGAGAAATCTAAAAATCAAAAATTTGAGAATTCGAAACTGGGAAAATTCAAAAATTAAAACCTTTAAAAAACGAAAAATTGTTAATCGAAACAGTGAAAAATCTCAGTATTGAAAGGAAAATAGAAAAATTGAAAAATTCAGAAATAAAATCGAGAATTTGAAAAATCGTAAATAGAAAAATCAAAGAAACGAAAAACTGAAAAATATCACTTAACAAAATCCAAAAGTTGAGAAATTGAATGATTGAAAAATCGGAAATTTCTCACATAAAAGCATCAAAAAAACTGAGAAGACGAACAAATCGAGAAATTGAAAAACTGAGAAATCTCAAAATTAAAAATTGATAAATTTAAAATTCGAAACTAGGAAAATTCAAAAATCAAAAACTTTAAAACACAAAAAATTTGTTAATCGAAACACTGAAAAATCTCACTATTGAAGGAAAAATAGAAAAAGTTAACAATTCAAAAATAAAACTCGAGAAATTGAAAAAATCGAAAATTAGGAAAATTAAAAATGGAAAAATCAAAGAAACGAAAAACTGAAACATATCACACTTACTAAAATCCAAAAATTGGGAAATTCAATAACTGAAAAATCGAAAAATTCTAACATTAAAACATCGAAAACTCAAAAAATTTAAAATTAAGAATATGAAAAAATTTAAATGGAAAAGTGAAATAAACGGGAAATTGAAAAATCAAAAAGCTGAAAAATGTGAAACGGAAAATTACAAAACTGAAAAAAACACTTCAAGAAATTGAAAATGAAGATTGTAAAAAACAAAAAATTGTAAATTGTCAGTGAAAATACACAAATCTCACAATTGAAAGAAAAATCGAAAAATTCAAAAATAAACGCCGAAAAATTGAAAAAAAAATTGAGAACTTGAAAAATCGAAAACCAAAAATTGTAAATGGAAAAATTAAAAAAACGGCAAACTGAAAAACGAAAAGTTAAAAGACGCGAAATAAAAAATTGCAAATCTGGAAGATCGAAAAATCGAAATACTGAAACATCTCACATTTGAAAAAAAAAACGAAAAATTGAGGAATCAAAAAATTCAAAAATTAAATTTTGTAGAAATCTCGGTCTTTTTAATTATTAATTTTAATCATTGTTTTTTCATTAATTTTTAATATCCATGTTACTAGATTGTAAAACAGAACCTGAAGATGACGTTAATTAATAAATTCGAAACATGTCGTAACCAATCAATCTCCTAATGAAAAACTTCGCACGTTCAAGAGGCGGAAAACAACCCCAAATTATTTAAATTGAAAATTAGAAAAATTGGAAAATCTGTCATAGACTAATGAGGATGTTTATCGAGAAGGTTGTCGAGCATTGAGGGCCTAATAAATTACACTAATAGGAGAGTCTGTAGACACCACTGAAAGATATTAAAACCTCGAAAATAAAAAGAATACAAATCTAAAAATAGAACTAAGAGCCGCTGTCTTACTTTTAAAATTAATTAATTGCAGATGTATGCAAATTTTGGCGTGACAAAAATACAACTTGAAAACAAAGACCAAATTTTCCATCCATTACAACAACAGAAAAAGTAGATATTGATAAGAACGTTTCAGATAACACAAAAAAAAAGATACAAGAACACGACAACTGGAAATTAAACTTGACGAAATATCACAAATTGTGTATTCTAGAGGTTGCTAAAAACGTAGAAAGTGACTTTGTAAACACCATTGAGATTCACGTGCAACTCTTGAGTGTTAATTTTCTTTAAAAGTAGTGCAAAAAGTGTAATTATAGGGTGACACTAAAAAAATTTGGTTGACTAATATATATGTAGAGGACACTATAACGTCAAAGGGAAGTTAGTCAATCGATCAATTAAAATGGGTCAAACAACGCAATTTCGCCTTTTTCACATTTCACAGGATCGACTCTGAACTTGGTGCCAATTCCACCGCAAAATCCTTTAAGTCGTGTGCAACACCTTTTCATCCGGACGTACACTTTTTCGCTACCACTGTCACCACCGCAAGTCGGCGCATATCAATCGAACCCCACGTTCCGTTTTTTCCACAATACCAAAATAATTTCTAAACCCGGTGATATAACAACTTACATAAGAAACTTTCGATTTACTTCCAATTTGGCTCACGATTAGCTCCTCTCTTTTGCAACCCACTCCACCCCGAACACCGCACACCCGATTTTCGTCACCAACGGCACCAAACGCCAAAACGAACGTGACGGCAAGTCTTCGGATCCGCTCGCTCCGGCCACCAGCTGGAAACTGGAGGGAAAGGTCGACGCCACCTCTAATCACTCGTAATACTCCAGCAATTACGCGACCGGGCACTCGGGCGGCGCGCCGCAGGGCCCTCTCCTGGGCCCGATCCTTATCGCTATCGCCGCCCCCGGGAGCCACGTCCGACTTTCGACGGTCTAAGAGCGAAATCCGTGATCCACTGACCTTAAACCTGCGATTAATCGTGGTACTCACCGTGGTCGCTGGGAAAGGCTGCGGAAAAATCCGGGCGGCGGGTCGGATGCGGTCGCCGCCACCGCACTCACCACTGGAACTCTCGCGGGGGTGGCGCGGTTACGGTCGTGCGGTCGCAGGGAGCGGCGGTCGGGAGCAGCGCGCACTTCGGAACCTGCGGTCTGACTGGGGAGAAGCGGCGACCTCACCGGTATATATCGCCTTCGACTGCACTGCCCGAACAGGTACACCGGTGGGGGCGGCCCTACGGCAGGGCTGGGCCGGGGGCGGCGATTTTCCGGCCGGGAAGTATACACGGGGCACTGCGCGGACGGGGTGCTGTTTTTATCAGCGGTTTATGGGAGTTTTATCTGCGCGATTTATGGCTGGCAATCATGTGATTTTTAATTTTTCGAAGAAGTAAACATGTTTAATTGCTACATCGAGTATGGTCAAATTTTAGACATTACGGAAGCGAGATATGACGCAGTATGTTAATGGTTCTAAACTGGCTTTTAGTGTGGAAAAGTGCGCGTTTATCGACGAGGTTTGGAGTGGACGGAAGAACAAAGTGCGCTGGTCTTTGTATTTTAAAAAATATTTAAATTGCGATTTCTTTGTCAAGTAGATAACCTTTTTAGCTCATTTACTACCTTGTAAATATTTTACTTCACTGATGTTTAAATTTCCGTGTTCATCCGCTGGACACTCTTTCTCAAAAGAGTGGAAAAAGCGCGGGTTTGTTTTTAGCTGTTTGTGTATCTAGAGCGCAAAGTGATACTTTGTCGCTTAAGAATGAAAGTTAATTTTTTCTACGTTTTTGGCTTTCTTCAGTTTCGTGGCTTCTAGGACAAAAGTGCAAGAAAAATAATTGAGACGATAGCGATTTTGTTGGTTTTTGTTGTGCTTCGTCGAAATGAGTGCGAAAAAAATCAGGCGTTATCAGGTCTGGTGTGTATAACAACGTGATAAGCAGCTGTAACTGATTTTTTTTTCTAGACTCCTTTGTTAGTCTCGTCGGCCACTTCTACTTGTACACTTGACTATTGTGTCCATAAAGTTAAAGCTTTGGAGCAAATTTACGTTTGGACCTGTATAATGTTAGAGTGGAAATACTGTGAGAAGAACATGTTGAGTTATTAGTTTCACCAATCACGTTGGCATTATCTCTAGACAACACTAATGTGACAGTAGGTATAGTTGCTTACACTCGAGGCGTAGCCGAGAATATTTGACGTAGAATTATTCATTTAAAAACTTACTAGTGGTAAAATATAGGCAGATGTACACCCGTTTTGTGAAGAAGACGGAACTCGCTACAAATTGTTCTCATATATGTACGTTTGGAAAAATGGAAAATGGAGCAAAATTTTCATAGTAACTGAAGCACAGTTTGTGCCCTTTCATGATTTACGGTCAAACAGAACAAGAAATTGGCAAATAACGAATGGGAAAAAATCCCCAAAATTGAAATGTTGAAAATCGAGAAATCGAAATCTTGAAAAATCAAACAATCGAAAAGTCGAAAATTGTAAAACTTAAAAAAATAAAATATCGACAAATTGAAAATTCGAGAAATTGAAAATTTCCAAAATTAAGAAGTCGAAAATTTGGAAAATCGAAAAATCGAAAAGTTAAAATATTGAAAAATTGAAAAATTCAGATATTCAAAAATTCTCAAATCTGAAATGTTGAAAAATTGAGAAATCGAAAACTTGAAAAATAGAAAAGCGAATAGTCCGAAAATTTAAAAATTCGAAAAACCAAGATGTCAAGTAATAGAAAATTTGAAAAATTCTAAAATTAGCAAAGTCTAAAAATTTTTAAAATCGTAAGACCAAGATGTCAAGAAATCGAAAAATTGAAAAATCGGGAAATTGAAAAATTCCAAGTCTGAAACGACACAAAATTAGGAAATCGAAAAAATGGAGAATTAAAAATTTTAAAAATCGAAAGATTGCTAAAAATCGAAAAATCTAAAACCGAGAAATCCAAAAAAATGAAAAATCGAACAAAAAATTGAAAAATTTCCAAAACTGAAATGTTGAAACATTGAAAAATCTAAAATTTGTAAAATTGAAAAGTCGAAAAATTTTAAAATTCGGAAAACCACGATGTTAAGAAATTGAAAAATTGAACAATCGAAAAACGGAGAAATCGAACAATCGAAACGTTAAAAAACTGAAAAACTAAAATATTGAGAAACGAAACATCAAAATCGAAAAATCGAAAAATGTAAAAAATTGAAAAATCGGACAATTGAAGAATCCAAAAATTGAAAAATTCTAAAACCGAAAAATTAGAAAATCGAAAAATTGGAAAATCGAAAAATTAAAACATTGAGAAACGAAATATCAAAATCGAATAATCTAAAAACGTAAACACTCGAAAAATCGGGAAATTCAACAATCGAAAAATTGAAAAATCGAAAAAATCGAGAATTTAAAAAAACGAAAAATTGTAAAACCGAAAAATCTAAAACCCAGAAGTCGAACAGTCGAAATATCGGAAAAACGAAACATTAAAAAACTCGAAAATTTGAAATTTATAAAATTGAAAAATGAAAATGTCAAAGAACCTAAAAAATCGAGAAATTGAAAAATCTATAATTTTAAAAACTGAAAAATTAAAACATAGAAACATGGAAGAACCAAAAAATTGAAAACTTGAAAAATCGCAACGTCAAAAAATCCAAGAATGGAAAAATCGAAAAGTCTGAAATTTAAAACTCGAAAAAGTAAAAAAACGAGAAATCGAAAAATTTAAAAGTCCAAAAATTGAAGAATCGAGCAAAAAATTGAAAAATCCAGAAACTGAAAAAATTCCAAAATTGAAATGTTGAAAAATTGAGAAATCGAAAACTTGAAAAATCGAAAAGTCGAAAAATTTTAAAAATCGAAAAACCAAGATGTAAAGAAATCGAAAAATGGAAAAATCGAGAAATTGAAAAATCTATAATTTTAAAAACTGAAAAATTAAAACATTGAGAAACGAAATTTCAAAATCAAAAAATCGAAAAACGTAAAAACTCGAAGAATCGGGAAATTCAACAATCAAAAAATTAAGTCCAAAAATTAAAAAATCGAGGAAAAAATTGAAAAATCCAAAAATTGAAATGTTGAAAAATTGAGAAATCGAAAACTTGACCTATCGAAAAGTCGAAAAATTTCAAAAAACGAAAAACCAAGATGCCAAGAAATCGAAAAATTGAAAAATCAAAACATTGAAAAATTGAAAAACTAAAACATTGAGAAACGAAACATCAAAATCGAGAACTCGAAAAACGTAAAAACTCGAAAATTGTGAAAATCAAAAAATTGTAAAAACGAAAAATCTAAAACCAAGAAGTCGAAGAATCGAAATGTCGGAAAAGTGAAACATCATAAAACTGAAAAATCTCAAATTTAAAAATTTGAGAAATGAAAATATCGAAGAACTTAAAAAATCGAGAAATCGAAAATGCTATAATTTTAAAAACTGAAAAATTAAAATATAGAAAAACGGAAGAAACGAAAAATTCAAAAATAAAAAATCGACAAATCGAAAAATCTAGAAGTAAAAAAATTGAAGTATCGACATATCGCGAAATCTCAAAACTAAAATATTGGACAATTGAAAAATCGAAAAAAAAATGAACCGAAAAATTGAAAAATCCCAAGACTGAATGAAATGAAAATCAAGTAATCGAAAATTCGAAAAATCGAAAATTTTACAAATCGTAAAATAGAAAAAGCGAAAACCTGAAAAATGGAAAGATTGAAAAACTGAATACTCAAGAAATGAAAAAGTCGAAAAACCAAAAAATCAATTAATCAAGAAATTAAAAAATTACAAAAAAAGAATCAAAAAATTGGATCATCGAACGCCAACAATTTTAAAAATCGAAAAATTGTAAAACCGAGAGTCGAAAAATCGAAATATCAAGAAATCGAAAATTTGAACAATCGAAAAACTGAAAATTCCCAACACTAAAATATCAAAAAAATTAGGCAATCGAAAAATTGAAGAATATAATAAGCTGAAAAATCCCAAAACTGAAATATCGAAAAATTAAGAAATCCAAAGTTGAAAAATCGAGAAATCGAAAAGCCGAAAAATCGAAAATTCAAAATATTGTTATACATCTACAATTTTGTTTTTTTTTTTTTTCAAACACGGATTCATAAACCACAAATGAAGGAGTATATTATTTTATAAAATTTAAATAACATTTCGTATTGAAAAACTTGGAGATGACGTCATTCTAATAAAAATCCGGACAGACGGCAGACAGACAGACGGAAACGGGAGACCTATTTTTTCGTAATTTAGTGGTCATAAAACGTCGAGATGTAGAGTGGAAATAGTACGAGAAGAACATCATAACAGCACTCAGGTTTTGACCAGTGGTATATCATCAGTCTGAAATGGGGACATTCTAAAAACATCTTTCCATGGTAGAACAAAACTTTGTCTTTATTTCATGACTAACTATAAAGAAAATGTTTTTTAGTAGACGTTATGAAAATTACAGTATGATCTGGTTTTCTGGTTCCATAATTTTTGTTTCACTCTACGTTTATTTTCCTTATAACACCGAAAATACAAAATTACAAAAACATTAAAAAACTGGTATTGAAATATTGGCAGATGTACATCCGTTTTGTGGAGAAGACGGGACTCGCTACAAATTGCCGTCGTATATATGTAAAATATTTAAAAAGATTTAACACCACATAAATTTGAATTATAAATTGATACAGAGATTTTGAGTAAAGCTAGATCCAAATTAGGAGGTTTTTTAGGGGCGCACGGCCAGCTGCGTTTTTATTAAATCTTTTCCCATTTACAACCACATTATGAGTATTTATCACGTGAGTTTTAATTTTTCCAAGAAGTAAACACGTTTTACTGCAAAATCAAATATGATGAAAATTAGACATTATGGAGCGAAATATGACGAAGTAGCTTAATGGTTCCAAACGACTTTTATTAATGTTAAAAAAATGTTAATGTAA